CCCCAAAACCCCAAAACCCCAAAACCCCAAAACCCCAAAACCCCAAAACCCCAAAACCCCGTGAAAGTATATAAATATTGAGAGAAATTCCATATTTACTCTATAATCAGAGAAAATGAAGAAGCAATTGACAGTTTTAGATTACTACCCAAAGTTCAAGAGGAGACCAAAGAGCATGAGAAAGAGATCCATTATTGAGCGAAAAGATAATGAGTTAGGTCATACTGAAAAGCTATCAAAGGCCCAGAGCTTAAGGAACTTAGCTATTTCAAAGAAAAGACTAAACATCGCGGAAATTAATGGGTTCTATTTCATGAAAGAAACCCCGCCTATTAAAATTCTCTCAAAATCAGACCCTCGCTCCACTCCTGAGAGAAAAGAGTGTCAGTTTAACAATAAGAACTCTTTTGGCCAAAAGAAGAGGCTAGACTTTAATATTTCGCCTAAGAAAAATGAGTCGCGCAAAGAGATACTGAACCCGAAAATAGAGAGCCAAATGAACAATCTCTTGGACCTTCACAAGTTATTTAAAAATAAGGATATGGCAATGCGGATGAGACCTAATTTGCAAGAAAGGCAAATCAGGCTATAACGAGGTTTACTAATCAAGGAAAAGCGTCTACTAGAAACAATAATAAAGAGTCTCCAGACAGTGTAAAAGGTAAGCTTCCTCTTAAGAGTCATACTGGATTTTTCAAAAATCACTATAAGCTATTTAAAATTTCAAGAGGAAGAGTTAGTGAATAATGCTTCTGGCTTAATTTCTAATGTCTAGTAAATTACTTCGATACCTCAGATTACCATAATCCCTTTACCATCTCTTCCATAGAAAGTCCAACATCCAAACCAGTATTCCAAAGTGCAATTCCTAAAAGGAGCCGACCGGTACTCCAAGAAGGCCCGCCAGCGTCAGAATTTGATCCTTTTCCTATTGAAGAACTCGAATTAAACCTTGCCTTCAGCAACCTCACTTCTTAACTTAAGCCTTCTCTACCATATACATATGAAGAAGGGCTTGAAAATGTTTCTCTATAAATCCTAAATATCTCACATAAAAAGAACCTGAAATTTTTCCTACACCAGCTTTCTACCCCAATCTTCACCACAGAGTAGTCTAATCCAACTGTTTATTAGTCTTTTTTAAGTTTCCAAAAAGTGGAAGGGGTACCTAAGCTCTTAACTTTATACGCCAACTAGAAAGTTTGGGATATAAATGCTCTCTTCACTTTAAACAGTATAAATTTCTACTATAATTCTTGTAAGAGGGGTTTTGGGGTTTTGGGGTTTTGGGGTTTTGGGGTTTTGGGGTTTTGGGG